ATGTGTCAATTCCAATCTGCTCTTTTAGGAATCCTGTCCTCATCCTTCACACCACTCCATATTTAATCCTGAAGCAATCAAATGATGGTAAACCAGAGAAAAAATTGGACATACATCTCTGACATGATGGTTTTAGCAGCCCCCACAAGCAATGTTTCCCCTAAAAGGTGAATTTGTGTCTCTGAAATTCACAAGTTCCTGTGTAAAAGTTTGCACAGCAAAGCAGGTGAAGAAATATCAGTTCTGACACATCGAATCCCACTTTTTGAGGTCTTCCAGCTTCACTGTCCAGGTGCTCAAGACCTTTGCACCAGAGGAAGATTTGTGTGAAAATATTTCACCTGCAAACATTCTGTTAAATGAAGGAAAAAGCCAGAGCTTGGCAGGTCCACAGGTGCAAAACACCTGCCCAGGCTGTGAGCAGCATTTCCCTTGTACAAAATATTTACTTTTAGGTTTCACAGCATAATTCACAATTTAAGCCAGGTAGCCAATATTTTCAATTTCATTTCCCACTCTTTGGTGCTTTCCCCTCTTCCTTTTCATTGCAGTTCCAGCAACTTGGTGGCTCCAAGTGTTCTTGCCAATGGGAAATAAAAAGTAATAATAAAAAAGAAGTTTAACTTTAAGGCTTCATCATTGCTGTGAAAAGATTAAAAATCTAATCTAAACACACCTTTCAGAGCCAAGCAGGAGGTACGAGTGGGATAACATCTTTGGGTTTTTTATAAACAAAATTTGCAAAGATTAATTTGTGATTTAGCTGCAGGTGTTGGCAGTAGTGTTGTTAAGCATCTGCTCCATCCCTATGAAATCCTGTTGGTGTGTTTGACTCAAATTTAAGTACAGGAAAAATTGTGTTCCTAAACAAGAGCTGCTGGGAGGAAACTTCACAGCAAGGCTGAATTTTAAATTAATTGATCTCCAAACTTCTCCATCAAAACTCCCCGCTCTGACACAACCAGTGTCAGAAAAATACTGACACCAATTCTGCAGCAGAGAGAAAAGCAGTTCTAGGAGACTTTCGGGCACTAAAGAAAGAATTGCAAAAATCCTTCTAATGGTTTCATACTGGAAAAAATAATTATATTATTAGAATGTTCATTTTACTTTTCAAACAGAGTCATATCCTGAAGAGTTATGTAAGGTTTGGGCTATGAGTAAAAGCTGGGGTTTATTTTCCCCCAGGGAAAATTTGAATCTAGTGAAAATTTTTGAATGTAGTGAAAAAAAAAATATTATTTGAGATAATATTAATTGTTATGTATTATATTTTATTTTTAGGGACAATGCCTTGGGGGACACAAAGGTGAGGTGGCCCAGCCTGGAGGGAGAAGCTGCCCATGGCAGGTGCTGCCATCCCTGGGGACTGAGCTGGCTCCTCACTCACAGCCTGTGTGGCGCCACGCTGTGCTCACTGAGGCTGCAATTAATGCAGAGTTATTAATCAAGCCCTGCTCTCCCCACTCCTCCTCTGACTCTGCCCTTGTGTCCNTAATATAATATAATATAATATAATATAATATAATATAATATAATATAATATAATGTAATATGTAATATATCTATTAGAAATATATATTTGTAATTGATAATATATATTTATAATACATGTAATATTATAATGTATGTACTAATATATAATATAATGTATAGTATACTATATATAATATATAATATATTATATATATTATGTAATATATACTATATACTATATACTATATTATATATTATATATGGATATTATTTATATTTATATTTATATGATATTTATATTATATTTATATGATATTATATAAAATATAATATACAATAGACAATATATAATATATGATGTACAATATGTAATACACAATATATAATATCTATATTATATAATATATATTATATAATATATAATACATTACATATAATACATTACATATATTATGCAATTCATTACATATAATATGTAATACATTCCATATTATATAATATTATCGCAAATGATATTTTATTTTAACATTCTCTTATTTTATTATTTATTTTTATTATAATATATTATTTTATTTTTTTAATTTTTTTTCACTAGATTCAAAATTTTTCACTAGATTCAAAATTTTTCACTAGATTCAAATTTTCCCTTGGGGAAAATAAACGCCCAGCTTTTACTCACAGCCCAAACCTTATGTAACTCTTCAGGATGTGATTCATACTACAACTGCATTGGGTGACAACTGAATTTTGAAAGACACACACACAGACATTGATGTTGTCTGCCAGCATCTCAATTTTCTTTGAAACACATAAACTTTCACTGCCTTCCTTTGGCTGCAGGGAGAAATCTGTCAATGTTTTTAAAGTTCACTATGAAATACCTCCCTTGCCGCAAGAAGTGTGTGGGAAGATTTTTCCTGTTCCCTGAAGAGCTGTAAGATTTTGGAAGGGTTTCATGTTGTGCATCAGGACAATCCATCAACACTTTGAAACTCCTCGAGGAAGAGAAATTCAGATTTCTTGTCATCGGTTCTGTGTGGTCAAAAACATTTTGTTCCCATGTGAAGCATCTCATTTTTCAGATGGAGATACCTGGAATATTGAATGAAAAAAAATATCACTTTTTAAAAACCCACCAATTTTCTTATTTTGGTAGAATTTTAAAATTCCTTTAAAATTTTGTCATTTATTAAAGGCAAAATCAGATTAATTTCAGGTAAGAATTGCTCAGGGTGGCTATTTCTTTAGGAATCAATGGGTTTGTGGGCTCAGTTACCTGGATTAGAGTGTCCAAATTAAATTGGACCATTGAGCAGGAGCCAGGGAGAGCTCCAGGACCATGGTGTGGTGTTACCAGGGCAGGAGCTGGGGAAGGCAGCTGGCTGATATCTGGTTACTGAAACACACACCTTTCTGCCCAGAAACCATACAAATATTAAATATTTCATGTGGTTTAATCAAAGAAAATGCTGCTAAGTCATTTTATTTTAAGGAATTTGTAATCAGGAGCATTCTGTTGTAAGAAAATAAAATCAACCAAGAGGAAATCTTTGGCTAATGGCTTTTTAAAACCCCGCTGTTACCAAATTAAAAATTAAAATTTGCATGATGGAAATAGGAAGGAATTGTTTGCTTGCCTTTGCTGTTTGGCTTTCATATATTGGCTGGGTTGTGCAGAATATTATTTCTATTGAGTCCTCCCCTCCCAATATTTCACTGTCACAGGATTTCAGCAGCCAATTCTCATACACTCATTTCAGCCTTAAAATCTCACTGCTAAGTCAATGTACATAATCCAGTGACAGATTGGGCTCTTACTGGGGAGACAGAAGAAATAATCAAGTGCAGGGCAGAAAATCCCAGACACCCATCTGACTTTAGTGCCAGGAAAAGCAGGCAGCTCCTTAAATTACAGAGAACATGTCAACAAATAGCAATAATGAGTGAACTATGGCCCAGAATGGCCTGAGCCCTGTGCCAGCAGGGCTTGGCTTGCCCAGCTCTGCTCTAATCCTTCATCTTTGTGGTCAGGGAGTGAGGAAATGCAGAGCTGGCACAAGGGTTGCAGAGAGGTTTTTGAGGGAGCAGAGATGCTCTGTTGTGGGAACCCCAGGACATTCCTTTGGATGACTCAAAACCCTGGCAGGGGCTCAGAGACCTTGGCATGGAGTCACAGACACCTGAGCCTTGGATTTTAGCCCATGGAAACAATTCCCAACTTTGCGTGAGGAGTTACAAGCCACAGGAGTTTGAGTAGAATGATAGTGAGTTTATCACAGGGGGGAATAGTAGAATTTTGGGGTTTTTAGAATGGGGGTTCAAGAGGAAAGATGGAGGAATCTGAGTGTGTCCTGTCCTCCTTCTCCTTCTCCTTCTCCTTCTCCTTCTCCTTCTCCTTCTCCTTCTCCTTCTCCTTCTCCTTCTCCTTCTCCTTCTCCTCCATCTTCTGCTGTCATTGTGACACTTCTGGATTGGTTTAGAGCAGAGACAGACTGTCTAACATAGGTGATAGGTATTGGAAAATTATTGTAAATAAAGTACAGGTAGTTTTTAGTATAAAAAGCCAACACCACCCCAAGGGTGGTCACTCTGCCACAACCCGACCTGCTGGACAGAGCTCAGCAGGTCAGAGAAAGAATGGGATAGATAAGAGAAAATGAACAACCTTGAAAAGCAGAGCTGAAGAATCTCAACTTCTTTGGTCATGGGGCTGGGGAAAAAGAGACTTTCTAACACCTCAGGAGCCATTTCAAGCACAGAAAACCTGAGACTCTGTAATTTAAGGAGCCAGGAATGGAATTGGAAACACTGCTAAAATTCCCACTTTATTTTCATGCCTCCTGGGCTCTCCCCTCCTTTAAGGTCTCCCAAACTGAGTTAAATCTGTGCTCCTCAGGCAGGCATCGTTCCCTGGGGCTGTTGTTAAGCATCCTGCTCTCACACCTCCTGAAGATCCACCAGGCTCCCTCTGTTTATTCCAAACTCACACACCAGATGGACACCCAGCTCTCCAAAGAGCTTTGCTCCGACACCCAGCCTCCAGCTTGGTTTTTTAATTTTATTTTTTTATTTTATTTTGAGGCAACCCCAGTAATGAAAATAAATGCCTGGGGCCTGACAGAAAGCAGGCATTTGATTACATGAACAGCCAGTTTTCCAGCCAGGAGTGATAACAAATTAAATAGCCATCTGAAACAGGGAGTACTGAACCCAGGAATGCTGGCACGAGTCGCCATCTGTGTGCTGCTCACTGAGGATTCAGTCTCCAAAGGAACCTGGATGCAGCAAAGTGTGTAACTGAGTGAGGGGCTGGTTCCAAACCTGTGGAGCAGCAGCAAAAACCCCAAAAATTCCCCATAAAATGAGCAATAAACCTTGTATTAAATTGCTTTGCTATAATAAAGGCAGAAAATCCACCTCAAAATTAAATAGCTATATATTTATATTTATATTCATTAAA